CAGTAGCAGTAGAAGTAAAATTTAAAAAGTTCTAAGCCTACTATCATATACAGGCTGGTTTTTCAGCTTCTTCTCGTGTACAACAGGAGTCCGTTTAATAAACCGAAATCGGCGGGAGCGAGAGATTTTGTTTGGCTTAACGGGGTTTTCTACTTAAGTCAGGTTGCTGAAATGAAATAGAAGAAGGAAAAGATCGGTAATTTTACTTTTTCACTGTTTATCGCCGTTTTCGGATTAACCGTTTTCTGTTTAACTGGACTCCGTTGATACTCAAAGAACTGGCTTCCCTGGTGTTCTGAGGTAGCTGGTTCTTTCACAAATTGGACATTTATTTATATATTCATCAACACACCATCCAGCACAACGTTCTTACATTTTATAAAAATTCGATGGCAACAAGGCTAGGGGCCGACCGAGAAAGACCTAGATAGATGGAGTTAGGGAAACTTTAACCACCCACGGCATCCCCCTGGCACAAGCTCTTCCGCTGGCGACAAAGAGACGTTTCTTTCTTCCCGCGACACCCGAAAGGGTATAAGTGGCGGATAAAAGCAAAAGCAATATATACATATATCTAGCTTGGCCCCCTTTCAATGAAAGGGATGATGGGTACATTAACATCAACTGAAAGTCATTGGCCTACTACTTCGACCTTTGCGAGCGCGAGGGGTTCCAACTGCAGAACGTCGTTTTCTTTTCGGCATGGTCAGGCGCTATCTAGATCTAGATCTAGATTCTTATCTAAAACATGTTGACGTTGTTCCCAGTAGCAAGAAAAAGAATTTGACAAAGGAGTCCAGAAAAAGCGATGATGGGCATCAAACGAAAGGATCACAGTCGAATTTAGCACCAAAACATGAGGCTAGATCTATACGGGTCGCACACTTAAAATAGTTCTCAGTATTGCGCGACAATGCGCAATAGTATAGAACGGAAGTACGACTTGAAATAAACAAACTTGGTGGATTTTCTAAAATTACAGAGACAGAAGCGTCGGCCTACAAAAGCGATCGGCGAAATAAAGAAATTGTATTTTTTTTTTTTGCAGCAAAACTGTTTCAAAACGAAAAAAACGAAGGGCATCATGATCAGGAGAATATTTTAAAGAATCTTTTGGTGAAAACCGCATGTCGATCGATGTAGCCATCAAAAAGCCTTTTGAATAGCAAAATTCGGCCACCATAAATAGATAATATTAATAGATATCATCGTCGTGACACAAATATTGTATCTCGTATTTCTGTCTAGAGCCGTAGCGA